GGCTGGGAGAGTTGGGGTTGTTCAGCCTGGAGAAGAGAAGGCTTTGGGGAGACCTTATTGCAGCCTATCAGTACTTCAAGGGGGCTCATAAAAAAGTTGGCGGCAAACTTTTTAGCAGGGCCTGTTGTGACAGGACAAGGGGGAATGGCTTTAAACTAAAGGGGGGGGGAGATATAGACTGGACATAAAGAAGAAATTATTTATGCTGAGGGTGGTGAAACACTAGCACAGGTTGCCCAGAGAGGTGGTGGATGCCCCATGCCTGAAAACATTCCAGGTCAGGTTGGATGGGGCTCTGAGCAACCTGATCTAGTTGAAGATGTCCCTGCCCATGGCAGGGAGGTTGGACTAGATGACCTTTAGAGGTCCCTTCCAACCCAAACTATTCTATGATTCTATGATTCTATATATAATTGTGCCCACACAAAACAGCACACGGACTGGAAAGACCAGGACCACTTCTTTCACTTAATCTGATTAAAAGTGAGAGCAAAACTGTCTTTCACACAGCGTGATGGCACCACCTGTGAGTGAAATCACCCTCTGGAGGTGCCTCTCTGTATTGTCTTCGGGTGGAGAAGGGGCCTGCAAGCAGGCTCCTAGATTAGGGACCTCAATGAAATCACTAAGTGAGATAGGACAGATAAAGGTCTTGGAAGATTTTGCAAATTTGTGTTGTTTTCATTAAAGGAAGAATTAAAAACAAAATCTCAAATTGCTTGGTTCCTAGTTTTATTTATGATAAACACTAGGCTCAGTTTGAAAAGTTTTATGAACAATTCAATTTTCCAGACATTCATTTTGAGAGATTCTTGTACAGTATTGATATGAAACCAGATCAAAATCAAAAACTTTTGTGTGTTAAGACAGGGGCTTGTGGCCAGGTAAACTGAGTTCGCTGCCTTAAGAACAAAACTACAAAGGCTGCTCTACACAACATGGAATTAGGATAACTTAATTATGCTTTATTTGTGCCATTTGTTATTTTGGTCTAAATGATATGTGAATATTTTTCTTTTTGAGTAAGAATTTTATATTCTGTGTGTGAACACTTTACTTTCATTGATTACTTCAAGAGAAGTGTATACAAGACCTTACATAAACATCAGAATAAAACCACTGTGCATCAACATTAGCTATTTCAGTTTACCTGTAAAGAGAATTTATTCAACAGATGATGTTAAAAAAAGATAAACAGAGAACTCTGTGAGCCATAATTCTCGGAACTTGTAAAGGGCTTGAAAGATACTCTTTAGGAAAGATGAGACAAGACATTTCTAATACATTCCAAAACTAAAGCAAACTAGAAGGGGAAGCAATCTACACAGGCTTGAAACACAGTGAATGTTTGCCCAGACCTCAACACGCACAAGCTGAAATGGCTAAATTTCAAACTTGCCAGCATATGTTTCACAAGCTACCAAGTGCAACACACCTGCAACTTTCTGTGGCTTCTCATCGCAGCAGTTGAGTTGCATGATCTTTGGTGGTGTTCGGGAATCCCAGATGCCATCTGGAACCCCCTGCTTGGGATAACCCTCCATGTCTCAATTTTTGAGATCTAATCTGCAAAGCTATCTCCAATTAAATGTTTTGGATCTGGGCTCACAAAGATTTCTTTAACCAAGCTTGAAATAAATTTTTGTAACTAAATGCTCAGAAATGGATCTTATACCCACCACGATGTTTCTTCCCTTTGTTCTTTCAGAATTTGAAAACAAACCATTGCTCTTCAGAGAGACTTGTTTTCCGTAACAGTGCTTATGCAGACATCCTTCATATCATAAACAGCTGTCAGACCTTGGTCTCTGCTTCTAGGAGTGCTTTATATGGGTTTTATTTCTCAGTAGGCTTCATCAGTGATAAAGTTCTGGAACCACAACTGTCAAGTGTTGTAACAGCTACTGTACAGTTTAGAAGAAGCACAAGTGGGCCTAATTCAAACCAGATATCCATTTGAACCCACATTTATGTTTAGATGACATAAGAGAGAAATGCTGTATCACCATATGGGGGCTTTGATGACAATAATGACCCTTCCCCCTACTGTGCATTCTTATCTCCCCTTTTTGCACTTCCATTAGCCCCTCTCACTGAAAACCCAGCCAGAGCCTAACTTTTCAGCTTAAGTTGCAAGGACTGATGCTGGCTCCCTTGCATGCTGAAGTCCAGCCCTTCCTACCAGCCAGGAATAGTAACCATCAAATGATGATACTGTTTTCTCTCTTAAGTGCTAAGAGACTCAACAGCGTGTCTGTGTCCTATGAATTCTGGTATGTGCCGCCTGCAATGTCTGTTTCTATATATTCCTGCCAACTGCATGACTTCATTCAGCTGCGTGATATCCCAGACAACACAACACTGAAAGTAACACTGGCACTTACCTGAGCTGCCGGTGCCTTCTGATGCACTTCTGGATGTTTTTGGCTGGCTCTGTTTGCTACTTGTTCGTACAGTGACCGAAGGAGGAACAGTGCTGCTGCTGTCTCCACGAATCGTCGAGAGGTCCTGCATGCTAAAGCTCCTTAGTCTCTCAGACAGAGCCCCCTGTCCCTAGTTAAACAAACAAGCAAATAACACACACAAAAGTTAGATTCCACAGTGCATTTTGAGCCTTTCTCCCCCCTAGCTCATTGAAATCCGTCAGTACAATAGGAAGAGAAAAAATTGCCTGGTCCAGTAACCTAGAGAGGACAAAAATTAGTTGTTAAAAACATCATTTCCCTCTCTTTGCTCTTCCTTTTGGAGTGGTTCTACGCACAAAGTCTGATCGTTCAAACTTTTGATGGCGAGCATCTCTCATTCTTCAATGTAGTCACATGAGCTCAGAGCAGTCTTAGACACATCTGAAAGAGCAGGATATTGTTGTATCTTTCTAGTAGGCACTTTTCCTCATTAGGATCCGAGTCAAATATGTGCTTGGCTTCAGAAACACAATTAAATCGTCTGCATCAAAATAACTCCCTTTTAAAGTTAACCATCTATGATGATATTCACCCAGCAGTTCTGTCACATAGAGAATTTCCAGAGCACAGAAAATTTGAAATTTTAATGTAATAAAAAGTTATTCTTAAATGCAAAGAAATATTCCAGTGCTTTTTCATGCAGCTTGAAGACAAAATAAACTCACACAATAATTTTGTTTCTTTTTAGACTAGCTCTCAATCAAGCAACAAACATATTCCTTGGTGAAAGGAACATAGCTGTTTCTTTGTAAAGGATGGGTTGGTTACAAGACACCTTTCATTAAAACTACATCCCACCAAGAAGCTGATTAGAAGTATACCTCTTTCTGAATTCTGTAATCCTCATACTACACCACTGCTATAGAGCAAGAATGCCAGAAAATACAATTAATACAGAACCTATCTATCCTTCCCTGTTGGCTAAATTAAGTGACATTCAGAATATAAATAGCATAACTGATAAAAAGTACATTCAAGTTTTAACATTTTGTTAAATGAGGGGGGAAGGCCCGAGAGATACTTCATAGCATATAGTCTTGGAAAAAAACTGAAATAAATACATAGAGCCTGATTCTAAAATTATTTCTGCTAGTGTAAATTAGGAAAAATTCAATGGATGCTTTGACTGAGGTGAAACTAGAAAGATGGCAAACAACAGTAAATATTGCCCTGTTTAACAAAAAATGGCTGGATAAGGCACATCATAGCAATTCACACACCACCTTCATTTAGACTTGTATTTGTCAAAGCAGTACATAAGTGGAGGCATAGCCTGAACACTGCCAGAGGGCTCTAGGTTGGGGCTGGACCAGAATACATCACTGCTCCCTTCTGGGCTGCAAATTTGAGTATCCTGCCCACAAAACCAGGGTGCAGGTGAGGGACCAGTGGAGAGTATGCTCTGGTGCTGGCCTGGCACGGAGAAGGGACTCATCCTGACCATCTACAATCAAAGGCAAGACTGGACACATTCCTTGCTAAAGCAGTTAGGCAACACTGCCTGTCCCCTAGTGCACTGGCATTGATACATTGGGAAGGCAATGCATTAATTTACCTGCAGGTACTGATTTACCAACATTACTTCAGAAATTTCGCATGCAGAGTAACAGAAAATCAGTGCCTTTACCCCATATACATTCCTTAGCACCTTACTTTTAGGGACTGTAAGTAGACAAGGCATCAGGTGCTTATAACTACAGTCGCTGTGACAGCCTGCACTTTCTACATTCAAGAAAACTGCTAGATCAGTAATCTCCAACTTTTCAGCCTGAAGCTTTTCATACAAGAAAAATGGGTTAAAATTTCCTTCTCAACTCCATAGCATATCAGTTTAACCACAGGCAGGCTATACATCCTGGACTATAGCACTTTTCTGCATCAGCAAGAAGTAAACAGCACATGATGACAACTTCTTCAATGCTGTCCCAAAGCATCGTCAATAGAAATACGCATTGTCTAAGAAAAATAAAATTGAACTGTCCTTTGTAGGGCAGAGTCACCTGGTGGAGCTAGCCAGGAAGCTGCACTGGGATTTTTCTCTTTATTTTACTGAATCTGTGGTTTCTTAAGATCTCTCTATGTATACTGTGTTTGGCAGCATTTTGCAGCTAATTTTTCTGCAGGCTATTACAGAGAAGTTTCCACACACCCACCGTGCTCTTCCTGCAGACTTACTTTGCTCTCTCTCATTAGCCTGTTCTACTTTTTTAATGTATTTTAAATGGATGGGGCTTTTTTGCTGGTATACCGAGACATTTTATTTTGCTTATTTTATATGCTTGGCAGTGGAGTCCATAGAGCTGATGTTTTGTTAAAATCTCACCTCTCCCATCTCACTCTCCAACCTGCCACAAGAGCTGATGCCTGAATTTTGGCTACTTTCCTGCCAGTGGCTGAGCCACTCCTGGGACATGTTCTCACTCCAACAGGCATCTCAAGTTTTTCTTCTTAGGCTGGCCTAAGGTACATCTACTCTGCAGTCTACAAATGCAACTGTCACTGGGCTGGTATACTGAAATTTCCCTGCATGGCTGGTTAGCTGGGTGTGATCTCATCCGCCCAGAACTCAGTGCAGTGCAGTTCTGGGTGGGTTTTGTAGCTTGCACTGAATTCCTGCACTGCCACCCTATTCTCAGTAACTGGTTTAAAGCTAACACAAGACGTCCTACCCTGCAGTTTGACTACAACAGAGAGATTCCTAGCGAGAGCAAGCTGAGAGCAATCAGATCACTAAATAATATTTTGCTGTTGCAGAATGACTGGACCAGCAAAACCGGAGGGTTAGCAATTGATGAGCTGCTGTAACCTGAGTGCTGTATTCCTCCCGTACCACTAGCTCAAGTGTCAGCAGTGCTCAAGCTTTTAACCTCCTCCCAGCCGCTCTGCTCAGCCAGCTAACCCAAATACCATTTCATCCCAACAAACAACTTATGTATGTGGACATGAGTCAGATTAGAGACAAGATTCATGCGTCAGACCAACCTGGCAGGAAAGATGACACTAACGCACCCTTTTGCATTGAAAATGAAGAAGATAAGTTAATATTCTTGCATTGCAACTTGTGATGTAGTGGCATATAATGATCAAAGGCCCCAGAGGCAGCTTTGAAACAACAAGGGCCTGATATGTGCCTGTCATCTGTGCATCCATTACATTAGCATATAATATGTACAACCACAGCCTTAAACACACAGTCACGGCAACTGTGCTAAACAACTTTGACTTTCTCCAGGAAAAAAATTAAAAAATTGTCTTTTCTTGATTTTTGCTTTAATTTAACCTAAGTTTATAACAGCAAAGATAAAGGTTGCTCATCACACAGATAACAGCAACATATTACCGTTGCTACCATTCCATGAAACAGTTTGTCCAGATCTCAGAAATGGCAGGGATAGCAAAGGCTCAGGCTGAGTGAGGACAATGAACGCGCGTGAAAGCCTGCTGACTTCCCTTCCATTTATTTTCTTTCAAATTTTTGCACCTTCAGTCTTTGTAGGGATAGACTTGATTTAATTGTTCCTAGGGTACAACATAACACTCACAATTCTTTCCCAGTTGCCACATTTCTACCTGACCCCAAATAGAAACATGACAAAAATTATGACTACAACAGAATGAGGATGGTTTCAGAGTAAAATGGAAAATGTTGTTACCAACCTTAATTTCTCTGTCAGATAAGCAGCTACTGTATATGAAATCACAAACATTTGAAAAGCCAGCACTGTGAGAGTTTCCACTGCTGTAGTTATATGTTTTAGCAATAAAGACTTTATCCAGCTGTAACGCTTATTATTCCACAGTAAGACTTATCATTTATTAACAAAAGAAATAAAACAAGTTAATAGCTTAATTTCACAACGGAATAGATTTAGCACAGCACACATCTTGGGCCATATTTGGTTAAAACAATCACGTGGAAGATGAAGAGCAGCTGTTTTGGGGATTTTTGTTTACCGTCTTGGCCATGATCATATAGATGCTCTTCCAACTGCTACAGACATGGGAGATGTCCTAGAAATTTCAGCACACCGTGTGTCTGCAGAGAGAGAAGATCCAGGCCCTGAAGCTATGTCTACGCTGCAGGCCAGAGGCACGTTTGCAGCACGTCCACACGGATCTGGGCTAGTTTTATCCCAGAGAGCGTGACAGCAGTAATATCATGACAGTTGCTGTGATAACAACATTTCACTGTGTCAACAGCAAAACAACATGGTGGTACTATACAAACTTTTGAAAATGAGGACTGGGAGGGCTTGTGGGACTACGGATGACACCATCTCTCTCTCCCCCCTCATTGAACACCAACTGCCCTGTCAGGACGACTGTGCTGGCAGTGTGGGACCTGTATTTTGGGGACTTCATCCCCTGGAAGAGGACACAAGCATGAAGTGGTGCTGGAAGACTGAGCCTTACTCTCCCTGGGCCCAAGACTGCCTGCCTACACTCAACTTCTACTTCATCCAGTTTCTCCTAGGACACAGACTGTCCCCGTAAGCATGGCACTTCTGATCCAGTAGACAGTGATTTTGCTAGATGGTGAGGTTTTGGTGGCAGAAAGTGGGAGCAGGTGTCTCTCTGTTCCCTGCTCACTATAGTGTACCTGCTCCCAAATTCATCTGATCTTCTTGTCCCAAGGAAAGTTCACCCCATAGGTGAAGGTACGGTACAAGCTGAAAGCAGACCTCTTTAGGCTTCTTTCACCTCTTCTTCTCTCAGGACCCACCAACCTCCCTAGGTCCATACATGGGACAGTTCTCTCTTTACAGGGGCAGAGAAGGGCCAGGCTGGGGCAGGGCTCAGTGCTACTGAACAAAACAAAAGACAAATACTAAAAATGACGTGGTAATATCACCCCCAGGTAACTGCTATCACGTGGTACCAACCTTACTTAGATTCATGACACTACCAACAGCATTAGGGCAGCGCCCATCAAGCCATGGACATTTAAGCTGCAGAAGCTCGTCTGTGATTCTAAGGGAAGTTAAAGCTCCCATCTATGTAATTAATCTAAAACCAATTTAGGTACATCTCTACCTTCTTCAGTCAAAATTGCAACTGTAGTATAGGCATACCTTACTTCCCCACATCTAGCACATTCTCTCCTTATTTTTGCTTTAAAGAGCAGGACAAAGCAGTACCAAAATACTGAGCTTTCTTTCAAAGCCCCCTAAACCTGCATGCTACCTTCCTCTAAATGTTGCAGACATCATCATTTCCAGAAATGAACATTAACCTCTGTGGGCCCAGAGCACAAACACTGATGCAACCAATATTTGCTTGGAAGGATCAGAAAGCTTGATCCTTTCCAAAATCTGAAGTCATTATTGTGTCAGGCACTCTAAAAGGTCCTCCATCAGAAATAGCTGGAATTGTCTTCCATTACTTTGCCTCTCTATAATAATCTCTGCATTCACATTTGAAGTAAAACTTTTTAGAGGGAGATGGATTTAGGAGTCTGGAAAAACTGGGTTTATATCCAATGGAATTATTCATTAAAAATACTCCACATATGTAGGCAACTTTACACAGGCTCTAGGTAAATAAAATTAGGCACATAATTGAAAAATCTGCAATTTATATAACCAAGTCACATTAAATATGATCTAAATATAAACAAATAACAGTTTCTAGATTTCATCATACCTTCCGTCTGACAATCTGAAAGAATTCTGTAGACATTATTTAGGCTTCAAAACACCTCTAATACCTACAAACTCCATTTTGCAGCTGTGGAAACTATAACACAGCATGGTGAAGTGACACAAATCAGGAACCGAAAAATGTCAAGTCATAAAAGAGAAGTTTTTAATACAGTCAGTGTTAATACAGGATGGCACCTTCTGGCCTTTTGCATCATTGATCAGTAGTTAATGGACAGGCAAGGGAACACTAAGTCACGCTCACCACACTTCCAGCACAATGCTAAACCTGTTAATGTTCTCTTCTCTTTTTGCTGTAACGTTGGTTAGCAGCTCTCTTCCATGCTAGCAGACATGTCTGCATGCATGTTATAGCCTCCATCCTCCAGATATTCACTACAAGGTGTAGTGCATGTTCCTAGGATGTCAGTTATTGCTATAGTATCAGCAGGACTTCCCCAACCACACCTATCAGAGAATGCTTGCAGAGAAGCGTCTTCACTTCTGAGCCAAGTCCCAGCCTCACTAGCTCCACTGCAACCCCAACCATCCTAATGGAATCACAGCAGTGGGAGAGAGGCTCCCTTTATCCATTAGTGAGAAAACAACAGCAAACACAGCAGCTTGGCCAATGCAGTAGCAACAACCTGAATTAGATGTGTTTTCCACACACAAAGCTCCCTGCCTGGCTGCTGGAGTCTCTCCGATTGCCAGCAGAGGACTTGGAAGGCATTTTGCTGATGAGATCAAAGACAGGCTTTTAAAGCTCAGCACGCAGGATCTATCTACCCACTGGAAGCGGAGCAGACAGCATCTGGCCTCAGACCAATCTCAGCTGAAAACAGTTCAAACTAGTCTAATGGGGAAGCAGACGTTAGTTACGGGTTAGTATAAGCACTCAGCAGATTACCTGCCCTTTTTTCTGGTCCAAATACAAGTGCAAATGAAGTACCTGAGAGACCTAGCAAGGGAAAAAAGAAAGCCATTGTGGCAACACGCATAAAAGCTTTGAGAGTAAGGTCTATTTGAAGCATATAGTAAGTAATCGAGGCGAGACATGACCATGACACTGGGTACCATGTGCAGGGACTCACATACACATAAAAAGCAGGGACACCCACCTGTGGACTACACCTTTGAACGCAGGTTGTCCCTTCCTCAGCTTTCCCAGAGAGATGGAGAAACCACTCCATAACCCCAGCTGACAGGGTGTTACCTAGCAAGTGTGTTTAAAGAGTAAAGCAAATTATAAACACAACGGGCTGCCACTCCACTCCTTGCACTTGATCAGTGCTTCCCACTGGAGAAACCCCCAGTGTCTGGCCACCTCTGTAATCCAGACTTAAGATCATTAAGAACAGAGTGCATTTAGGACTAATTTAGGCACAGGATTAGGTGAGGGACACGTGGCAGTCATTTTAGTCCTGGTACTGACAGGTCTTCTCAGAAGTAGAAGGAAATTACTCATGGCAATGAGCAGGAGTTTGCACGCAGAAGCGTTATCATGTCTGGCTGCAGGCAGGCCCTGCTAAGAGCAAAACGATCGGCTTTATGCTCTGAGCACAGGCCTGAGTGAAGGAGGAAATTGCTTCTGCCACCATATGAACACAAATACCCTGCAAGCAATATCCTCATGGCCAGGGCCTGCGTGCCGTGCCTAGCCTGGAGCAGCTACCTGGTTTGGAGATGTCAGACAGTACTAAAGACTCAAAGGGAAACCAGCTGACGTTAATGTTGATGGTGGAAACTTAATTTCATCTACCCTTTTTGTTTGTGCAGTTCATTTCCTCTCCTGGGAACTGTTTGTTATTGTCTCTCCCAGCCTGGTCTCTCTGTATAAATTTATTGTTTGATTCTGCTGTCCTGTGCATTCACTGGCTATTGTCTGCTTCTTGGAGACACCAACGAAAGAGCCAACAGGAGAGATAAACTGGAAACAGCTACCCAGATTGTAGCTCAAATAGCGTTGGGTTTTTATTGATTTGGGAAAAACAGATTCTCAAAGACTTAAGAATGAAAGATACATCACACCATGACAGGAACAGCTCACAATATACTGTGATCAGTGGCACACTACCATAAGTTTCAAGAAAGCCATTTGTTGTTCCTCTTTATTGGTGTAACATAGCTCAGCCATGAGATCTTTGATTTTCGATCCCAAATGGGGATTCTTTAAAGGAAGCTACTTTCAAAAGCAGCATGCTCAGCCCTTCTGAGATAACACTAACGAGTCCCCAAAGATTTCTCAAACTGCGTATTCTAAACCACTCCTGACATCCGCAACTCTTGGCCATGTCACGGACCAGGGCACACAGTGTGGCCATTATAGATACGGTACTAAGCAGACTGGACAGAACTGTTCGCTGATATGTTTGGCAAGCAAAGACACAACCTCCCTCCCAGCAGTGGGATCTCATCGTTACAGGGGCTTTATCCAGCCTCTTAAAGGGAAGGATGCTCCCCACTCCTTGCCTCCCTCTTTCCCAATTCAAGTAAAAGTGCAGTTCTTCACTGTCATGCCACAAAAGGCAGCATCCCTCTCCCGCACAAGTTTTTGCTCCAAACTCCCACAGTAAATAGGTCTCAATTCTCATGGAAAATTAGGGATCTAAATATTGACTTTCAGGCAGTTGCACTGGCTATACCAGCCAGATACCAGAAATGAATGAAAAGCTGCTGTTTGACTAGAGAGGATAAAATCTAAATGATCACCAGCATTTCCCTTCCAGTGCCCTGGTTTAAAAATCAGCGAACGCACTGGGAAGCTTCCCAATAAATTTCTTGAGTTAAGGGACCCTAAACTAGCAGAGCTGTGACTCCCCAGAGGGTGGTGAGCCCAAAGGTGGAAATGGAAGTGAGGTTGCCCAACCAGACAGGTGGTTGTGAGCTGAAGCAGTTTGGGAACTGCTGACACTGCACTCCTGAGCGTCTACAAGGTAGATGAGCATAATGAAACCCTCCCACCTTCGTCTGCATGCCTGGCCCTTTTAACCAATAAACCAGAGTGATTGCTAGCTCTGGCAGCACCGCAAGCCATATCTCCCCATGCCTGAAAGGCTCCTGGACTGTTTCTCAGACTTATTAGGCACAAACGGGCTTTTCATTGACACCAGTCATGCGTGCCTGCTCCCTCCACCTCATTTATCATCTGCCAAGGCACTGCACCCACTGCCAGCAGCACGCTGTGCCCCACTCCCATTCCTAAAGGCAGGCTGTACCAAGGGGCACACAACAGACCACAGGACCAGCTGCTGTGCAAACAGTCCCTGCCCTACACACAGGAGGGCAGAAGAAGGGCAGAGGAAGGTATGTTATCAGAAACCTCTGGGTTGCAAAGATCTGTTGGCTGTGGGATGTTTTCTGCAGCCCTCCTTTGAAGAGCAGAGTTGAGGCTGCAGCTTGGGGATGGTTAAGTGGTTGGGAGCAGGATTTGTCTTGGGGGTGGGGAAAGACAGTGTCCTGTTTCGTGTAATTGGTTTGTTCAGGGTGAGGAATAAGGATACATGCAAACAGGATATGGGAAACCCAAGAGCTTGAAGGAGAGGGTCAGAGAGCTGGGGGAGAGTGTAAAACTGGTGATGGGAGGGTTGTAGACACAGAGGAGGCAATGGCAGTGCTTGGTCTTGGGAAGAGAAGCAGGGAGTACAAGGGTTGGGGACTGGGGACAGGGCAAGGCAGCAGGTGGTGGGAGGCTCAGGGTGACAGGCAGAGGATGAGAAAGTGCTGGAAGCATGGCGACAGCAAGGGGAGTACATATGAGTGTGCTGGAGGAGGCTGGTGCTGCATCCAAGCCATCGGTACCTCTCCTCACTGCAGCCACAGCCACTTACATTAGAAACTTCACTGATGCCAATGAAAAGCCCACCCATCTGATGGCTCTGCTGCCTGGCCAAGGCCTTGAACCTGCCCCACTACTGGGACTGTAACAGCCTTGCTGCTGCTCCCCTTCTGCTGTGACCCAAAAGCAGGCTCCTTTTCTGCTTCTCCTCTCCTCCCCCAAGGTGAGCTGGAAAGAAGGTGGCAGTCAGTGCCCAGGGCCCTTCAGGAGCAGGAATGGCTGAAGTAGTTGGAACTAATGGAAAACACACAAAGAGCAGCAGGATTTACTGCCCAGTCATCTAATCCCACCACTTAGGACTGACCCACTTGAAGTCACAGCGTGTGACAGAATGATCAAGCCATGAGGACAGGATTACAGAGCCCCAAATGAGATTATGCTCCTTGGTGGCGATGCAAGCTGCTGGGGGCAGGGAAAAGATCTGTGTTGAGCACCTAGCAGGGGTAATAAGACCAGATATCCAATGCTCTGTCTGCTTAGAGAGCATCAAAAATAGACTCTCGGGAGAGAGAGAAAACACTCAAGCGAGCCAGCTGGGCAGACTCAGGGTACTTGGGACACTGACAGCTCCTCAGCCTGTAAAATGAATTGGCACAGGTTTGTGCCAGTGTTAGCACAACTGTGGCTTCAAAACAAAACAGAGCAGGGGAAGGGAGCAGGAGGAAGGGGAAGGGAGGCAAGCCTGCATTTGGCTAACTAAAACTGTAGGCTATTTAAGATAGAAAGGGGAAAGGGCCAGGGATCAGAGATAAGGAAGGTGTGGCTGTGCACCACTTGCAGCATCTTAGCCCATGGTAAATATTTAAGTATCAGCCTGTCACACACAAACGGCAATCAGAGAGCCAGCCGCATTGTGCTGCATGATGGGTAAAAAGAATGAAGAGATGGACCTCACCCAAAGATCTTATCACCAAAGACAAAAGATCATGACAGATCCTGTGGGAGCACAAGAAGATAAGCTACCACAGCTCAGAGAGAGAGGAGAGGACAGGGCTATGCACAGTGGGAGACATGTCTCTAAGTACAGGAGCCTTTAAATTTAAGCTCATTTACTGAAAACCGGTCTGTACAGAGTACACTTTCAGCCTAGCATCTCACTGTGTATTTGCCACCAGAAAATGCTGACTTGCAAAGTCTGAGAGTCCATTTCTTGATACAAAAGCATCTTTTCCTCGCCCATTAATCCAAGTGAAGCAGGAAATAAGACAGATCCTCACATTCATTTGCTGGTAAAAGCCATGTTTTCCATGGGAGCTGCAGGAGCTCAGTGCTTCTGAATATATGGTCATCCCTATAGGTTCCAATTTTAACACAACCTGTCAAAGGCTGAAACACAATGCACCTGTTCAGGGCTCAGTTTCTCATCTACACTCAACACTTACCACAGGCTAGCTGGACACCCTTAAACATTGGCATTGGGAAAGCCAGGATGAGCCTTAGAAATAGTATTCTCTTTCCTCCCTCCCTGGAAACTTCCCCCTAAGGACAGCATTGCAGTCTTGTCTGGCATCTGTCAGCTCAAAGTGTTTTCCAGATAATTAGTCATTTAAAATTCTCTCACGCAGGATAATCTAGCTCTGTTATACCTCCTTCTCAAGTGAGCAAGTAAGGGCGTTGACACACATTTAACAGCAGCTGAAAACCAGGGCAACAGAAGCTGTTACCACCCATACCTGCTTGTATCACTCCTCTCTTGGAAATGGCTCCCTTCATAGCAGCAGGGACAGCTAAATGGAGACACATCCACACCCTACCCATCACACTTCACATCCTGAATACCTGAGGAACCCCAGCTCAGCATTTCTGTACTGCAATACATCAGGCTGTAAATCACAGCCATTCAGCTCTCCCTGCCCGAAAGACAAATTTAGTCTGAGAAGGGCAAGGGACAGAAGCTGCTTTAACCATTCCTGACTATTACACCATGAAGAGTGTAAAGGTATTAAGGGTGTGGTTCCATGAGCAGCAGAGCTAATCTGTCTGCTTCCCACGACCAGGAAGGGAAGATATTGCTTTCCATTTCTCCAACCATACTCCTCACAATGCAGTTCTGTCCTTTGCCTTGTGCTGGCTCAGGCACTCACGAGACACATCTGTGGGCTTGAAAAACAGTATTCCCCTTCCTTCTCTTTCTGGATAGCTGATAGAGTAGAGATAACCTGAGGAGGTCCAAAGAGCTGGTGTACAGTAATCCACTGGGAGCAGGAGCATCACCCCATCTTGGAGGAGGAGAGCTGTCAGACCAGCTCACCCTGTCTCTTGGATCTGGACCCTGAGGCACAAGCAACTTGCTGGAGGCCACACGCCGAAGCGGCGAAGGAAGCCAGGAGTCCTATTTTTCCTCACACATTCAGAGTAATTTAAGTGTCAAGGCTGAAGCAAAGACATGAACAGTCCTTGCTTTGCTGTAAAAATCAATCAATCCAATAACAACCTCTCAATCTTATCAACAGATCATTTTCCCCTCCCCGCAGTAGTGTTCAGGAAAGACTCTTCTGGTCCATTTACAGGTTGCAATATCTTAACTGTTTTCTCTCTCGTTAGGCTGGTAGGTGTGCCATACAACAATACTACACAAGTCACAGAGTTGCTTTCTTCCAGCGCTGAATGGGGAGCTTCATTAACTCATGCAAAACAACGGCTTCCTTGTACCCTTCTTCTCCCTTCTACCCAGCTTCCCACTGCCACTGGAGCCACATTTCAAGGCAGTGAGATTCTTAAGAAAAACACCAGAAAAGCAGAACAGTGGGAAGAAAAACTGTGGTGCTGACTGCTCATTCAGGTTGAAAAGCTGATGAAGACACTGTTGCAGTTCTGAGATGACAAGGTTGGCACTGTGGATCTGGGCTACTGTTGAGCTTCCCATACTTAGGAGCTACTCAAACAGGAGTCGGAGTTTCTTCGAGATTCACACACAGTTTCCAACTCTGTCCTAAAAACAGCTCTAGTACAGAGAGTCTGCAGCATCTTGTAGGAAGAGGCTCAGAGCAAAGGCAGTGCTGCAAAACAGGCATTCCCAGAACCTATTTATGTCCATGGTGTGACTTCTTCAGGCTTACATAGCAGCAGGAAAAGTGTTAAGTGTCATGGAGGCGTCACACAAATGTTGTTTCGTTGGGCATATAACACACAGCTTTGCCTTAGCTCCACGTTTATCCCAGGTTTCAGTCCAGGTTTGGATTAGCCAGCAGTCCCTGGGTTAGCAGAGCCTCCCCACTGAAGAGCAACAGTTCAGGAGAACTGAGCCAGGTCTGACAGCCACAGTCTGCACAATGCTTGGCTGGGAAAAGGGAAGCAATTTTTGGCTTTTCTTTGGAACGGAATTTTGCATATCCTTGCGATCCTACATGTTCATGGCATATCCCAGGGGCTCCCCACTTCTATAATACTTCGCATTCAACATGCTTTATAGACTTTATGGTATTTGGCCTCCTAAGGATGTATTATGTGCATTTTTACAGAAGGCCAAGACATACTAAAATGATGTGCCTAAGGTCATATGAAAAGCATTTGACAGAGGAAAATAATTTCCTTCAGCTCCCATTCACGTTTTTCCTAATACCAGTACCCACCTTGCTCATATGTTTCTACTATCCTTTTGCAAGAGGCATTGTATCTGACTGCATGAAAGCATTATCTTTCATACAAGTCTTGCCCCCAAATCACACGGGTATAGTCACTGTGCACATCTACCCTAAGCCATGATAATCCATGGCCAGACAGCAGGACCACAAAATGCAGTTATCAAGTCCTTGCAGCTTTTATGCAAGTAAAGAACAGAGATAACAGCTATTTCCTGGCTCTGGCTCTAAGCCAGGAACAGAGTACAGGATATACCTCCTCAGATGAGACCACTCCTCAGATGAGACCACTCATCCAACATCTACTCGTTCTCCAAAAGCAACTAATGCCACTTCCCATTCACTCTTACATAAACACGTCTCCAGAGAATTATACACGAGGAATGTTATGTGTAACCCTTGCAGACGAACCTTCAGCCTTCACAAACTTCAGATCACATCTGCTTTCTGTCAGTACCCAAGTTATAGGACACTAGATCCTCCAGACTTCTCAACAATTCAGCACAACAATTGACAAACTGGGCTGCAGATAGCCTTTCCCTTCACTGCAGAAGGTGCTGACCAAAAAAAATATTTCCCTGTCAGGATGTTAACCGTGTTCACCTAACGTCAGCATCTCTCATGGGAAGCATGCTCCTATTTTGACAGTGAAAATGAAAAGCACAGGCTGTGATGAACAGCATTGCTAACATTGTCACCTGGGTACTGAATGCTATGGAAAATATAAAATTCAACAGAGACTTGAGGCAGACCCTAGTCTTAATCCTGCATTTCCAACCTCCTATAGGTTCACTAGGCACCACACTTACTGTCTTCATCCCAAGAGGCACCTGTGTGGCTGGTGAATGGGAGATTGGGAGGCATGATCAAAATCAGTGAGTGAATCCCTACCCTCAGCGTCTCTCCCCCTCCACACTGTGGCTGCTGTTGGTGATGGATGCAGATGAGATGCTAATGAGTCACCATCCTGACCCGCACTTTTACCTTTGAAGCCGCCATGACAGCTGCCGTGGCTGCGACGTTCAGCCCCCGCTTCCCAAAGTGCACAAGGGCATCGTAGCTCCGGTCTTTTGCCTGGACGAGGCAGTCATCGATCTCCTGTCGCAGCAGACAACAAAACAAACAAAAAAAAAAAGCACAAGAAGGACAAGTTCAGAGTGCTCCCAGCCTCAAAGTCTTGGCAGGGCCACGTCATCTTTTATGGAGGCAGACATCCTCCATTCCCTCCACCTTGGCTGGAGAGAAGTTCACAGCCAACGTTTGCAAAGAGGAAAGGTTTTCAGGGGAGCAATAACTCCCACTGCAGGCTTTGGGAACTCTTTGTTCTGCGAATGGAAGATTGGGACCTAAAGTTGGGATACACTTGCACAGTGCAACCACCACCAATAGGTCCTGGAAGCAAGACAGACACATTCACCTGGGCAGAATGGACCAGAGTGTGTCAAGAGCCATTTGCAATCTATGGACTCTAAAGACAAATTGGATTGCCCCATAGCTAAAAAGAATCATATTATGACACTGGGCAGCTGCAGCTGTACCGCCCTGGGTCCAGGACTGGTGTCCTCAGAAGTATCTGAGATATCTCTGCACATCACTGCAGTGTCTGGCTTCAACATGCCCATGGAATTGGTAGGTCCAGAGCTTCTGGACTTCGATGCTGCTCAATATACAGTGAAATGGTTATGAAAGTTCCTGCCCTCACCCTCCCTCCCTCAAGACACAGAGGTCTGGATGATAATAGATGACAATGACTTCTAGTACTCAGCTACTGGATGTGCTGGATTAGTAGGGACTGGAGGCTGCAAGAAGCTGCTGGCTGTTTAGTGATTCCCTCCCTATTCCTATTAGATAAGAGGTGGCAACCCAAAATGCATGAGCACTACTTGTGAGAAGCATAAGCAGAAGTTCCCAGGAAGCAGAGAGACAGGGGACTGATCCCCACTGTCCTCCTTGGACAGGACTGAGATACAACTGTTCATGCATTGCCTGTGGCTAAACAGAAGCTTTCACTTCCATAGTTGCCAATGTGGGAAACAGTTATTCACCTCTTAGTGGTTTGCATGTTGTTATGTGACTGATAGCTATTCTTGGCCCACATACCCACATAAGCCAAATGGATCTGCCTGACAATGTCCCAGTCACAGCCACAGGAATCTCCTAGGCAGGCAAATGATCCAAGCTGTAATGTCCCCCCCCTGAAATTAGCATCATGAATTTGAGCAAGACATTTCTCAACCCAGGACCTCAACGTGCTACATGCCTTACTTCAGCATGCTATACGTCTCCCAGCCAGGCAAGTGCTTGCTAAGCCCCTTTCAGACAGGCTTGGCTATTTGTCTCATTGCTGCACAGTTTTAGGCAGAGCTGGGAACAAAGTTAAGGAGCCCTGGCTGCCAGACCCTGTTTCTCTAATTGTTATATCCAGCCACAACATAGCACTCCAGCTATATTCAGCCAGTACGTGCAAAGCAGCTCAAGAGGTATTTTTATCCCCCTCCCTCCCAACTTCCCAAGTGCACAAAGATGAGTTAATATGCGTGAGTGCGCTGAACAGATGCCAGTATTTAAAAACACAACTACCACAAAGAACAAAAACACCAACCAAAAGGAGAAGATCAAATGATAGAAGAAGAGAATCAGCAACTCCCAGTCCTTCAATGAAAATGAGTGATACAAAGACTGGAGTAAATTCACTGTAGATCTGCTCCACCCAGAGAGGACCCAGGCACCTGTGATTACCTTTTCTTTTGAAGACAGTGTTGGATGAACAAATTTCCTGTACAGGAGGCTGGAGCCTTTTGTGTATGGAGACAGCAGCCAAGCTACAAAAGCTATTTTGAGTTCATAGTAGAATGGAAACCTAGAAGAAAAAGAGCTGTTAATGTCTGCTCCCAATTTAACCACTGCTCTTGATTAGAGATGCTCAGCACAGGAAGGGACTGGCCAGTCTACCTTAGGACAGCTTTTCCTTACCAAAGAATCCAAAGGCCAAAACACATTCACCCACCTTTGCACACATCTCAACCAGGTATGTGGGTAAATCATTATTCGGGCATCAGGGCCATTATTTAATGGTCTGGAAGAGACTCTGCTGTGTGATAAGAGGAGCTTCCTACATGCAAAGAGCACAGATGCTGCCTTCATAGCATCCCCAGTCATTATGAGGGAGCAAAGAGCAAACCAGCAAATCAGTATTTCATCCATCATTATGCACCTTTCATCTCTGCCTTTCTGCTTTTAAGGTAACACTTATCTGACTGAAACTGAAAGACAAGAACCTTTGTTGTCCAAGCAACATGCAACATAAAGGTGCAGATCTACACTGTGGCTTTCAGGTGGCACTGCAAAATATGCAGGACACTAACAACAGGACATGCTTTAGCTGTAACAAGCAGCCAGGGACTTCTTGAGATTAGATTATCCAGGCTCTTTTCTGGAGGACAAAGTCTAGAGCTCAAGGCTGGCCAGCTAGCAGCATCCTCATGTGGGCAGGCATGTTGCTGCCAGCAGTGTGACAAACCAACGCTACTCTTTGTAGGCAGGGGCAAGCGAGAGCAGCAGAGACCCTGTGATGGCTGTGCACCAGCCCAGCTGGACCCAGGCAGACTCCTGCTGTGCTAGTACAGCACTGTCACCAAGCCAGCTGGGCCATACAGCATCCAGGTCTGACCCGATGGGTCTCTGCGATGCTTTACTCTGAGCATGGATTTGCCAGGTTGGTCTTCCACCTCACTGAGGATCTCTACAGCATACTTGATTTCACAGGCTGGACAAGCCCTCTGCCATTCCTCCCGAGAGACCCACATAATACATCCTCCAAAAAAACAAAGCTCCAGATGAACACAGTGGAGGTAGATCTGCATGCAAATTAGATAGAGACAATAATGTCTTTTATCTCCTTTTCAACAGAACTGACGTTTTGCCAAGTACCCCTGATTCCCTTTGTCTGGAGGACTCACTAGAGGCATGCAGTGCTATGCAGGAACAGGCTTTATGTGAGGGCCATGCACTACAGCTAAATTTTCATCCTGAAGTCTACTGATCTCACTGGTTTCCACTAGAAAGGCCTTACTAAAAAGCAATCAAGCAACAGACCAAGCAGCAAACCAAGCAACAAACATTTCCAAACTTGAGCATCCAAATGTAAGGAACTGAATCTGGTAACTGGGCATTTATGTGCTCTCATCCTGACAGCGGTCACCAGGAATCCTTCCACTGGCACCAGAAAGCCCACATCAGTATGGACTGTCACTGTCCTCCATCAAACCATAAACCCAGCCTAACCAGGAATGGGCCTGGCAAAACACTCCAGGAAGAACCACCCATGCAGCGACCTACAAACAAAGTCCTGTGCTGCAGGGCTGTTTCTGCCTGATCCCTAGAGTCTGTGTATTTACTGTAGGACACAGCTAGGTAAGTCTAGAACTATGCCTGTAGCTAAAGCTACTGTTGTTTACGTGATGATCTCTGCGAGCATCCAACTCAGCAATCAGCTGTGCCTCTCTCTGACAGGCAGGGGACTGAGACTCCTGTAATGACTTCTCACTAATGAGGTATCACTGAGCAGTTCCATCTTCTTTCTTGCTTTTCCTATGATGGCACTGTGAAAGGAAGCATGGCTCCTCCAGACAAAACACCTCTATGCACCTGAAGCCGCTATCCCCATGTTCAGGAGGCAGTGCACCTTTGTGCCCCCTTTTTCCCTTTGTAAACATTTCCATTTTCTGTCCACCTCATGCCAAAGACCCTCTCCCATCTGGTGCTCACCAGCAAAGAAAGATATCCGTGAATGTCTCTGCTGTCGTGAAGAGCGCGAATATGATCCAGTACATCATCCATTTGACCTGGTAAACAAAAACAGTAGCCAGTTCAGTTCAAGGCCCTTGGGAAAAATCCCTCTTACAGGCACAAGTGCACAGAATAACTTTCTCAGTAAAAACGGTTCCTTCCCCCACCCCGTGTACTTAACAATTACTACGGACTTGAAGGTGCCAGAGCTCCCCCCACCTCAGCACATAACACGCGTCAGATTTCCACACAAGCCCTTGGGAAGGAAGATTGTGGCCTTTAGGACTGGTCTCATGAAAAGAGGAGCAGCCTGACTCTGTCCCTACGGAGGAAGCTCCACTGGCCAGCGAAGGACCACAGCCCTATCACAGGGCATTAAAAAATCTCACTTGGCTTATCTTAATAGCAAAGGTTAATACTAGGGTGTTGGCCAAACTGCAATTAAGACAAAATGTAATTACTTACATAATATCTACAGGCAGGGGAAACTAGCTAGGAAGAGATAAAGAGGTAACTGCCTATCCCATGACCCATGGCTTAGGAGCACAATCAACTCACTGCAACTTATTGAATTAGCGTGCATCACTTGAATGGCGGTGCCTCCTCACATCCACACCCTGAGCCCATTGCAGTGACAAGGGCAAGTGCATTAGCTTAAATCCCTTACCTGAGGCTTAGGTGAGAGCATTTTACCTCACATTGGTAGTGAAAGCATGTGCTGTGTTGTCACTGTGTTCAACTATGGTAACTCCACTGTGGGGTGGACTGCTTGGTGGGTGATTTATGGATGGTCTCCTTTGCGGTGATAGCGACAGATGCAGAAAGTCTTTTGGGACCGTGACTTGGTCAGGGAAACTCTAGTATCTCGAGTAATTCAGGAATCTGGGGATTTTTGTCACTGAGCAATAAATGGCATTTAAAAGCACAGCTAAACTATACTGATATATGCAGTATTGGTTCTTCTTGGGCTGGAAAGAAACAACGTATTTGTCACGCACCATCAGCACTTCCAGTGATTTTTATCAAGTGATGTGGTGCTCCTCTTCTGCGACACTGTTACCACAGAGATGACGTAAGGAATAATTTCTAAGTAGTGGACATGAAAGAGAAACCTTTTATTCCCCCTCAATATTTTTTTTCCGTTGTAAAATTGTAAAACTTAAAGTTCAAACAGCTTTAAGAATCTGTCTCTCTAAAGGAAAAGAGATGGTAAGACAAAAGTTGTTAATTTAACTGAAAGTTGTTGTCTAATTAGCTATATTTGAAAATGAAGATCCCTAAGCAGCTTTGCTGGAATGTTAGAAAGCTTAAGGAAGTAAAATCCATGAAAATCCATGAATTAGAGAATTGGGCTGTGTTACCTAAGGCTGGGATAATTGCAATAGAATAAGGCAAGGCTGGAAAGAAGGCAGTACAAGAGGGATAGCTACACCAGGTGCTGCTCTGGGGAAGGGAGGATGGAGGTGGCAATAAATCTGGCTCTCACCAGCTCTGAAACGGCTTGCTCCATCTTCTCCCCGATGCAGTGGGGACAGTACCCGTAGTCTCTCTCCATCTCCCTGCAGGTACTGAAATTATTACCTAAGCACCTGTCACCCAGCTATATAACTGCTCCCCTGGGATTTATATGTATATTTATACTTAGTGTTACAGCAGTAGAATGGCACTGCCAAATGCCTGAGAGCATTGTCTTCCCAGGGCAGCTTCTGCCAGACTTTTTACATAACTGCAACTCCCTCAAAACCTCACTGCCAGCACGGTTCTGTCAGTTAGACATTACTGCCAGCAAAACTTTTAAACACAAACCAAGACCTGGTGTGGATGGGCTTGGATCAGCCTAAAACACCATTTATCAAAATGACTATTACCAAGCAGAATAAAAATAAACTATAACGATATAAGTTTTGACTAATAAATGAAGGTTTGTACTGTGTCAATGTGAATTACTACGTTGTTTTTTTTTAAATCAGACCCTAACGGACATATTGCCACAACTGGTGTGTTAAACTGAAAAACAATTGTAAGTGCAGACCAGGTTTTAGATCAGCTGTTCCCACATTTGGGTCATGACCCCATGTGTCTGATGCGAGTTCCTCTTTTGCAATTGAATTTCCAACAGGAATTGGACCCTTCAACAAAATATTTTCCAGAAAAGGACTATGGAAATGTTAAGTATCAGTGGCAGATACTGCTTGGGGATGCTAGCGCACGTCTTCAGCATTTCCAAGCAAAGGGTGTACAAACCTTGAGAAGCACAGCTGTGCAAGGGCTGCAGGGACATTTTGCCTTAAGTATCTGATGTGTTCTGTAACACTTATGATTCTCAAAATATCCAAAACCATTATCTGAAGGAGGGGACTGATAGCAAGGAAAAATCTCAGCAGCCACAGTGAGTCCCAGTTTGAGCTTGCATTAAGGACTTAATGGGATAGCCATCTATGCTGTTACCTAGAGGAGAAAATAGGCTTGTTATCCCTGGGATCTCGAGAGGATTGAAGAGTGAAGATCTGGAGACTGAGTCGGGTTCAATGAAGTTAACAAAGCTCAGGTTGTGAAGGGCACTACAAATCCTACAGGACCCCAACAGCATCCAAGTAGCTTTGATTCTCCTACATTTCACTTTGCCTGAGGGCCCCATATGCCTTTGGAAACTGGGGCCCAGGGAACATTTTTCAGCAAAAGGTTGCCAAACCTGCCTGTAAATAGGTTGCTCCACAAGGAAGGATGTTTCTATCTGAGGATTCAGTCATATGTGCTTTGAGCTGCCTCCTCTGATCCTTGTTTTGAATGAGCAGCTAAAGCTCCAAGGTTTTTTGAAAAGGCTTTGATTTATTCTGCTTTTCAAAAACAAAGGAAAACACGCAAAGCTCTGGATGCCAAACACCTTTTAAGTCGGCCATATATAGCTCGCACCACCAGAGAAATAGCATACATTTGTCAAAGAGCACATCAACTCTGCAGGGGAGCCAGAAGCACAAACCCAAGTCTCCTTATTTGAGACTTGTGCCTAGCAATCAGCCAGTCCACCTTCAGGCCAGTCTTCCCCTTGCACTGGCTTACAAGCTTTCCCAGAATATAGGCAACACCTTTACAAAGTGGTGAGGAGCAACCTTAGAAAACAAACCCCGCAGCACAGCCACAAACCTCATTACTCACATATTCTTTGATGTCCTTTGATTTCACGGCTTTGTAAGAATAATATGCGGGGTAAAGAGTGCCAAATATAAGCCTGGAAAAAAACAAACAAACAACAAATGGATTAAATTGATTTCCTGTCACAGAGAAAGATTTTTTTTTTCCCTCCTGTCTGTTAAATGTGTTTCTTGCACTAGCAAAAGTGTTAGGATCTGATTTAAGCTTGAGTGCACTAAGTACAGTACAGGAGTGATTTCGCGTCACTGAATTCAGAGAAACTATTGCCAGTGACATAAATGAAGAGCAGGGATTCAGGTTGACTTTCCTTTTGCAATGGTTTCCATAGCTGTACCTTATGAGTTATGCACAAATGAAACCAAACCAAACAAACAAAAACCAAAAAAGGCCACTGCACTTTTAAAAGGAAATTAAAAACCTGATTTCAAAATAATCAACTGTGACACCAGGAATATAGGATTATGGCTTTCAGAGGCAGGACAAAATGAGAATCATTTGTCTAAAATCCCTTCCACCTCTATTCAACACTCTGAAAAGCTGGCAGAGGATAAAGCAGCATCCAAGTTCTACTGGCACAGGGGTTTGAATGCTGGGCCGTTATCCTACGTTAAATTTGCTAAAGGGAAGAGGCCTGCACTGTTCGGTAAACTCAATTTGGGCTCATCAAAGGAGGAGGAATTTGCCCACCAAGATATGCCAACAGGATCAGGCCTAAAAATCCCAGCTCTACTGTTCTTTCAGACAGATTCCTTTCATTTCCAAGTCTGAAAGGAACGCTGTCAGCTTCAAGATTTCATGTAAGAAAGAAATAAGGATCCATAAGTTAAAATAGCATTACTGAAAAAAAAACGTTGAGAATTTTTTTATACTAACTCCCTTCTGCATCACTGCCTAGCTGCTTATTCACTTCGATTATTCTGGACATAAGCATAGGCTTGTCAAAACCACTTTGCCCTGCCCAGGTTTCAGTCAGTTTTATTCAATGCAGTAAGATGATGCTGCAAATTCTGAATTTAATAGATTGCAGGGGAATATTTATTGGCTTGCAACTACCCCTCTTTCCAATGGAGCTTTTGCTTTAAATTCATATAGCTGTTTCTGCTGCTCTTGGGAATGGAAATGATCAATGTTTCAATCCCTAATTGTGGGGCCACATGGACCCGCAGTTGTCTTTTCCATCCTGCCAGCAGTGATTGTGTGCCATGGGACTCATAATTACAGTTGAGTCCATTACTTGCATAAGACATTAAAAATTAACACTCTGGGATATGGTGTACCATCGTACTTCCCGTAGTTCAAGAAGGTATTTGTGAAAGAATGGGGTGAGCCAGCACAGATCTTGATTTCCAAAGCAGTGACCCAAGACTATTTGCCTGCAATTCATCATGCTTACTGTAGCATAGCTTAGCAAAACCTGAAGCACAATGCAGACTTCAGAAAAGCAGCTACTGAGCGAGGAGACTCAGTATTTAACAGAGGCTTCACACTGGCTTCAAAAAGCTTTGCTGGAAACAGTCAGCCCTGAACCCATTTTACCCACAGGGGCTGTGCTATATGCAGGGATTAGATACAAATGCGCAGAAAGATTCTGGGAAACCAAACGCATTTTTGTCCCTTGCAATATCTTAACAAACAGCAACACTGGTTAAAGCGAGGAAGAACACACAGACAATAGCTTGATCCTGTTCTCACTGAAGCTAATAACAAATATTCCCTCCCAGTTCAATGGTAGCAGGACCTAATCCAAAGAAGGTAGAGCTCACAAAAGGAAGAAAGCTCCACAATATTCAGAAACTAACAGCTGAGCACGTGAATAATATTTTTGGCTCTACTTATAAAAAGTGCCGCATTTCTGTCCTTCCTTCTTGGCCTGGGCTGGCTGCTCTCTCACGCTTTTATTTCCTGCAAATAATCACTGAATGATTGATATTCGTTTCCTCAGTTTGTGCTGGTAACAGAAAGTAACTGGATCCTGAAGAAGCAAACAGTTTACAGGATCACTAGAAAAGAATTAGTTGCAGATAATAAACACTTGAAAAAAAATTCCTGTGAGGGAAGGAAACCGTGCAATACTTTTGCATATGCAGAGCAAGGGACAGTTAATAAGGTGATGTGCTCTCCCTAAATTGGAGATTGAGAGTTTCACTGATTTGCCTCGTAGTGTGTTGTGTGCATATATGGACATTTATTACTGCTATGATTTACTAGACTGAAAACTGTTTTAAGGAATGTTGGATCCCAGTCTTGTCACTGCTGTGGCTTACTATGTGGCTTGGAGTCACTTAACCTTTGGGTACACCCTACAAATGGAAGACAAAAGATGTTCAGGCATTTCTATAAAGCATATTCAGGGTTTTGGAGACAAATACCTGCACATAGGCATATTCCAAAAAGTCTCTTGAAGTTACTGTCTTCACTGGGCTTTGGATCAGGCTTGAGTACAACTGATTTAATTCAAACATACACGTCAATCCTCTATCTCTTCCCTCAGTTCCTCTCCCCTGCTGAAGACAATACTTCTCTCTTCCCCCTCATTCAAGCTTCCTGTGTAATAAAAGTTATCATTGATTCCTGCCTTCCTTTATCCCCATGCTCAGACTGTTGCCAAATCACTCCTTCTGCACGCTATACACAAAACCAAGGCTGATTCTTTGCCCTCTGCCCAAGCCACTAAGTCATTCCTTGTCTAAGTCTCCTTTCCAGCCTCTTTTGTGTGGTTTCTACCCCACCTGGATACACCAGTGTTTAAACCTCTCTCCTCTCCCCTGCCCCGCCTTGCCTACCAAGCTGAATCTTTGCTTTCCGTGCCTGAAAAATGTTGCTCCTAACTACTATTGGTTTGGTCCTTTATCATATCCCACCTCAGTCCCTTCTCTCCTTTAATGACTGTAGTGGCACCAGCTTCGTACTCTGCTGTTCCTTGTATGTCTTCTCCCACACCCTGGAGCTCCTGTGCTCCTTGCTCCCCCATTGCATATCAGCCCATCGCCTCTAAAACAAGCTGTTCCCTGACAGTTACCCTGACAGCCCACAGTTTGAGAGGTAGCAGCCCAAGCCACACAAATTCCAACCATGTCATTCCCCAGTTCCTCCTCACCTCTCTAATCTTCTGCTGCAACACTCCAGTTCTACCTGATGTTCTCTGAACCACACCACAGGACCTTCAGCTTTTCTCAGACATCCCCAAAATTGCAGCACAGACCCTCAGTTCCCTCCCACAACTGCCAGCTGACCTGGGAACCACATGTGCTATGACTCCTTCGGTGGTACATGCATTGACTGCCTGACTGGTGCCTGGCAGCTGGCAAGCCAAATTAACAACCTACCTATGGAGTTAACACTGCCGCTTTTACCTCCTGGCAGACACTGCTATGAGACAGTCTCCTATCCAGCAGCTAATTCTTATGAATAATGTAGAAACTTAATATTTGAGACCTCTCTGATCCATCTATTTTGGCCACAATCACTTTGCAGATCTGAAAGTTAGCAGCAGTGGAAAAACAGACTGCTTAAGCCTCATTTCCTTAGGAAATCAGGCTACAAATGCAGCGTCAACCCACTCCCCACCCATTTCCACCTTTCAAAGCTCCTTTGAATGAGCTATGTACCCTTGACAGCCTTGACTCTTTTACCCTCAGTGCAAAAGCAGAAGCAGACATCCTGATCAGCAAACCAGGGACTCCCAGGGCTTGATGTAGTAGTCGCTACGTTTAATGCTACAGAGATGTGTTCCTACAGTCTGGGCTACAACAAACACATACCTTCAGGGTATAGGGAAAGGTAAGGAAGTAGTGACATTCATCACCGAGTTAGGAAAAGCTCACTTGCAGCACTAATAAATAACCACAACAGTCTAACAATTCTTACAGTGCTCCATGCTGGAGGTCTACATCAATTACAATCGCCTTGAAAAAGGACAAAACAGCAGTTGTAAAGAAATCACTGAAGAGTCAACTAATTGTGCAACAGGAGGCAAAAATCTAAGTAAAAGGTTAGTCTTCCTAAAGAATAGGATAAGGATTAATGCTGAAAATCTTATAATCCTATTAGGCACAACAGCAGCAGCAATTCCCAACCTGGACCGCTACATGCGCTTCTGGTCATTCTTTGTCAAAAGGGACATGGCGGAGGCAGAAGGGGAAAGGAGAAGGGCAACAAAAGTGTGTGGAAGCGCACTGGGGAAGATCCATAAGAGCAACTATAAATGCTGCAGTTGTTTCTTTTGCAGCAAAGACAAATAAGTGAGGTTATTTGCTCCTACTCCTGATGCAGTGTAAGGGGATGTTCAACTGAATCGAGAACAAAGTCAAAAAGGAGGGGAGAAACCCTGTCTATCAGCAGGAGTTAATCTGTGGAACTGAATAACTGTATTTATTCATACAATTACATTACATTGGATTTGGGGTTTGGTTTTGGTTTTCATTATTCAAGTTTACCACTAAATGAGACAGGAAAGGATGAAGCTTCCATATTGTGGGGTTTCCTGATTATCAGGGGAATATTAAAGCAACTGAACTGTTGGCTCCTCTTTAGCAATCTCTGTCATATTCCAGGGGAGCAGCTGCACCATCACCAAACCTCCTTCTGTTGCCACTTACCACTACAGCCACAGCCAGCCCCGGCTATTATATCCTTCTATTCCTTCTCCAAATCTTCTAGCACAGTGATCTGACCATCACAGAGCACAGGCTAACCCACATCTGACAATATCCCTAATAGCATCTAGGTTATAGCCTGGGGATCAGCATCAGAGCTGGTACCAGGATCTGGGAGAGCTCCGCATGACGTCTTGACTTCTGATGATTTGGTGATGCTATTTCCCTCATGAGGTACCTGGTCCTACAGCCATTTACCTGTAAAATTAACTCTTACTTTCTGTACAGCAGCCACTGAAATTAATGGAAAGACTCTCAGCGATTCTCAGGAGTACTGGCCAGGACTCAGGTTACCTCCAGAAATGCCTGTCTATCCATTCTCTTGAGTATTTTTAACCACACAGGTATTTTCTGGATGGTAACCTACTGTTACAAACATACCAGCACAGTGCCATCCACGTCCCAAGCCATCCAAGTTTTG